TCATTTATTTATGATCTTATTACAGAGAGGAGAGAAAGAAGTGTTTTTGGACTTCATATTTAGATCATTACAGGCTATTTTATAGTAACAAATTTTACTTGCCAAACTAACCCTCAAGACCATCTATACACTGTTTTCTTCATTTCCCTTATTTTTCTTCCTGTTTTACATTTAATGAGTTATAGATACAAACTGCTCATACATTTTACTTCCCTCCTTGACCATTGAAATATTTAAAGATACTATGCAGATTATGCATCGCTCATATGATTTGATATAGTACATCCAGATTCTGTTTTACCACTTTTTTCTTTTTACTAAATGCTTAAAATATCAAGAAGCAGAATTAATTATCTTTATTTGGATTATGTACTAATTCAGTAGCTGTTTACTGAGAATTTATTATGCACCAGGCACTGAGGTTGTAAATGATAGAATGGTGTGCATGTTTCTTGTACCCATGCAATTTGTTTGTTTGTTTGTTTGTTTGTTTTCAGGGAAAGGAAGCTTCTAGAATTAAATGATGGACAAATGACTGGCTGGTCCTAAATGTAACTAAGTTTCTCAATGAGAAATTGTGTTTGCCTTGCCAGTTTTTGTTATGGGAATATGATTTGTGTGTGCTTGTTTCAACTTAAATTATGGGATTGTTTCACTTCCGTCTTGAAAATAGCAAATAAATGATAAATGAGCTACAACCAGTCATGACATAGGCAAGACCATAATAATTCTCTCCAAAGTAGAACTGCCTAATAAATCTTAATTTTGAGTAACCAGCAAGTAACAGAGGCAAGCTTTACTTATGGTATAGCTTATGCCAATATTTCTGAAATTAGACCAAGACCAGCAAATTAAAAGCAAATTTTTATCTAATGATAATTAAGAAAATAGAGGTGAAAGATAAAAGAGTCCATTAAAATGTAGCACAGTATTAACAGACTATAATACCTTAGCAATACCTTCTACCATATATTCCATTTTCCTTATTATTTGTTGAAGAGAGAAATACCAGTCACCAAGAAGTTAGGATATTGGCTTTTAACTGTAAGGCCAACTAAGAATTTTCTTTGAAATAAGACTAAAGTTGTGTGAGTATACATTTTATATTTTAGAATATAAATACCTTCCTTTATAATTCTCAAAAAGGTACCTACTTAGAGCTATTACAAAGAATGAAATTAGGTCTAGAAATTTCTTTGTAGGGTAGTCTTTGAAAATGGTAACATCAGTATGACTTTCCACTCCCAGCTTCTACACTGTAATGGGCCTAGTCCAAGTCTTTGAAACTATTGATTAATAACTGTTTAAGGCACTTAGTTATGCTTCTTCTAGTTGTTAGTCTGAACTCAAGTTTGTTAGTATTCTAGTCATAGTATGAAGTGCATCTCTTAGGTAAAGCATTTCCCTTACAGTCCAGAAAACCCTGTATTACTCAGTAAAGGTTAATTGAGGATGACGATAAATTATAACAGTACAATAGTTTTTAAAAGTCCTAGAAGTACTCTTTTAAATAAGGAGATAAGGAATCTAAAAACCATAATCCCATTTGTAACTTCTTAAGCATAACTTGATATATATGAATATGATATTAAAGTTTCAAAAAAATCGATGAAGGGAAATGAGTGTAATTTTGGCAATAATTGAAGACATGAGTTTAGGTCAAAGCATAAAAATCTCACCCGAATACAATAATCCCAAACAATAGTTCTCCCTTGTTTGAAACTTTCCTAGGACTTTAAATTTACTTATTGTGCATAATATCTCAGTTTAGTCCTTCCTCAGAAATTACCTTTGATTTATATCACTTGGAATCTGTGCTTTTTAGGTTTGTAATATGAGCTCATTCTTTCCTGATCCTTTTCCTCTCATTGTCATTACTCCTTTTCCCCCTTATTGTTATCCAGGCAAAGTTCTCTGATGAGACAACTGTTCAGAGGATAATGAAGATAGTACTTGATGCCTTTCATGAATGTGTTACAGTTTCCGAGAATTTTCCCTGACTTGTATAGATCAGTACCTGAAATATAATAATGGATTCTAATTTGAAAGATGTGTAGCCGTGTTTGAGGATCTCCATTTATTCTTACATGAGTGTTGAAAAACTCAGTTAAGATTTTCCGAAAAGGCCAGAGCAGTGACTTGTTATTTATATCAACCTTCTAATACAGATTTTTCTGAAAGGCAGTATTTTTCCACTATATTATAAAATATTGATGGGTGGGAGGAAGAGAGTTTCTTCAATAGGATTCTAAATCCATTTTTCAGGGTGAGAGCATTCCCTTTTAATGGGTAGCCTCATGAGGTGCATTTCTCATAAGACTGACAAGCTATGGAAAATCTTAGGCCTTAGGAAATGGATCCGAGTCCTTTCTTCTGAAAAGAGTCATGTTTGAGATGGATAAAAAGCAATACTATTATAGTAAGTAGTGGTATAAACTTTAGTATTTCAAAAATGAGACTAGCTGAACAATTTAAAAGCTTTCTGTGTATATTACTGATATGCCTTTCAAATGGAAATAGTGGTGTTCTTACTATGAATATTGTATTTCCAGTATATAGAGCTGAAAAGGATATATTTATTCAATCCTAACTTGATTAATTTTGCTTTATTTTTCCAAGTTTATACTGTATTTTTAAGATTATAATACGATTGTTTTTTAAAAATAATTTTGCTAGAGGAATGGGTTTGTAAAAAAAAACATATAATGTTCAATAAAGCAAGTATGAGTGAAATAAATTATTTACTTTCAGTTTGGAAGAGGTGAATAAAAAGTGCTTGGCCAATACCGTACCATTAATCTATTCTCTTTTCTCCTTTCTCTCTCTTTACTTCTCTCTCTCCAATAGAAGTGGAACAAAAAGGTAATTAAATACCTTTCATAAATTATATACTATTTATCTATTTATAGGCTAAGTTATTTAACAGTTTAACATTTAATTAAAATAATTTTGTTATTAATTCTTATCTATTTACGAAAATTTATTTAATACTTCTGCTGCTCAACTTCACTTTAATTTGTTTTACTGACCAGTGCTGGTTTGATTCTTTTATCCTAAAACAGTTTAATAGTGTAAAATTTTCAGCTGTGTGTTTTATTCCTCTTTATTTTTAAATAAGTAGTTAGAAATCCATTCGATGGTGATGGATAGTGGTTGCTTCAGTTTTGTTTTTATTTCTATACTAAATTTCCATAGCTCTGGTGTGATTTCCCCTGTTTCTTTATTTTTTTTAACTATTTGGGGAAAGCGGAGATGGTTTTCTGGAAATGCCTTAAAATAAATTACTATAGTAACCAAGAGCTGATTATTAATTGACATAAAATTTATATACAGTTTTGACAACAATGCCTACCCATCCTTTATAATTATAGTCATCATATTAAAATCCTGATAAATTATTCTAATCAGTTTTATTTTTGAGTATAAATTGACTATGGCTCTCTCTCCTTGGTACGTAAGAGTTTGATAGTCAGATTTCGCCCAAATTTTTCATTTTTCCTAAAGTAAAACTTTGGGCACTTTAATAATGTACTTTTCTTTTTAATAACCTACAAATCCTAGCTGAGTTTCATTTTAGGCTGTTTCTATTGTATCGAGAGGCTTATGGTTTCTGTTAGAGCTAATTACTAATATCAAGAAAATAATAATTTTTTTCATTAATCATTAAAATATGGGTAAACCTCCAAGTTCCTTGTGAATTTCTAATTCCTCCACCCAATACACTTACAGTCATTTCAAACATAACAGTAGACTGCATGATTATATTTCAGTGTGTTTGCTTTGCAAAAATATCAGAGCGGCGTTTCCCATAGCAGGTTTGGAAGAGCACTCCACTACTAAAAGGGTCCGTAGAAAGGGTTCCATGATCAAGTTAGTTGGCAAAATTTGCTCACCCTGCCCACTTACGCTTTGGAGATTCACTAATGTACCTAAGCTAATGGACTCTCCACCACTATTCTATTTAATATGATATGGGTTTATACGTGGCTAAGGATCCCTTTTTTCTTTCTGTGCGACATGTAGCTTTACTACTAGAAAGAGGTGCTCTGAGGACCGCCCTTTGGGAAACATTGCTTTCTAGCCCCTTCATTACAGATCAGTCAGCCAAGCTTTCCTACAACCACTGACACGATGCGCTCTTGAGTCATACTAAAAATCTACTGCAACAAATAATTCTTGCCCATTTTCAGTCTGAAGTATGAGCAGCAAAATATGATAGCAAGTAATCTTGTTTTTTAATGCTCTTCTCATGTAACAGTAAAAGGTACATGTTTTTAAGTTCCAATACTACTGTATTTAACAGGACATTTTTAACTGATTAAAATCTAGATCTTGGGTTCTTCTCTGTAACCTTTCACCTTTTCTTCTTTCCTTATTCCTTCTTTCCTTTCTTTTTCTTCCTTTCTCTTTTGCCTTCCAGTATTCATCCATCACTCATTTTAATTGTGTGGGTTGCATGCTCTGTGTGTGCTATAGCAGCTTGAAGAGCTTTTTTGCTAGAAGATTCAGTGGCTTGTTTTGCAGGGCTTTTCTTGTCCTTTGTTATTATATTTAATTAGTGTTGGATTTTCACCTGTTTCCCAATGATAAGCATTGAATAGCTAATATCATCAGAGTGAAAGCAATATTTTTTTAAAATTTTTAAATAAGATGAATAAAACCATCATGTATAAACATTGGCATGTGTTATGTCTATGGAATACATAGACATATATCTCAAAATATCGTTAATACATGTGTACAAAGGTAATAACCAAAGGAAAGCACAGCTACTCAAAGGCCAATTTTTTTCAGCAAATGAAATCAAAATGATTTTTAAATAAAAGTGAAAATTAACGTGTATGACTATATTGTGTTCTCAGAAGAATGCAACAAAATAATAATTAAGTGGTGGTGGGTAGTTCTTGTTAGAGTTGCATTCCAGTTGGTGAAAAATAAGTATCAGTGGCAAAATATTAAAATTAATATATTTATTATTTTGACTCTTTCCCTTCCAACAGTTTTTCTTTGTCCTGGACTGCTGAAAGGAGTATACCAGAGTGAACATTTGTTTGAGTCCGACCACCAGTCTGGGGCATGGTGCAAAGACCCTCTGCAAGCTTCTGACAAGATTTATTATATGCCCTGGACACCTTACAGGACTGATACCCTGACTGAGTACTCATCCAAGGATGACTTCATTGCTGGAAGGCCAACGACAACCTACAAGCTCCCTCACAGGGTGGATGGCACAGGATTTGTAGTGTATGATGGAGCTTTGTTCTTCAACAAAGAGCGTACCAGGAACATAGTAAAGTTTGATTTGCGGACTAGGATAAAGAGTGGAGAGGCTATCATAGCAAATGCCAATTACCATGATACCTCCCCTTACCGATGGGGAGGCAAATCTGACATAGACCTGGCAGTGGATGAGAATGGGCTATGGGTCATCTATGCAACAGAACAAAACAATGGTAAAATTGTCATTAGTCAATTGAACCCTTACACCCTACGGATTGAAGGGACATGGGATACGGCGTATGATAAAAGGTCAGCTTCCAATGCCTTTATGATTTGTGGGATTCTGTATGTGGTCAAATCTGTCTATGAGGATGATGACAACGAGGCCACAGGGAATAAGATAGACTATATTTACAACACCGACCAAAGTAAGGACAGTGTGGTGGATGTACCCTTTCCCAATTCATACCAATACATAGCAGCTGTGGATTACAACCCCAGGGACAACCTTCTTTACGTATGGAATAACTATCACGTCGTGAAATATTCTTTGGATTTTGGACCTCTGGATAGTAGATCAGGTAAGTCTGACTTTTGATGGTTTTCAAGAGGGAAAATATTTACAGTTTGCTCTCAACAAGTATATTGCGCGTTTTGATTAAACTGTCTTTGTGACCTTTTTTCTGGCCTATGTACCTGATAATGGTTTGTGTTCTTTTCATTTAAACACTGTTAACCTTCATTCAGCTATAAAAATGTATAAGAAACTGATTCTTTCTCCTTTGTGCAACTAGTATCCAATGTTTGGCCCTTCTGGAAGGGCGTTTTGATTAGCAGCTGATTAAGTCTTGTGTAGTGTAGTACACAGAATCTTTGCTTCAAGATAGAAGGCTAGCCTGTCTAATTAATTATGACTTCCCTTCACAAGTGTTCTCCCCTTGGAAAACATCAAAGGGTTGGCTTGTGTTATTGCTTCAGGAGTCCTACACCAATATATTCATAACAATTCAAAGTTTAAATTATTTTTTTATTTCAGTGCTTATATGTTCATATTTTTATTGTCTCTATTGCTTTTACTATGATTTTATTATTAAGCTAATATACTCTGTTTTCTAACTTAGTTCATTTTATACATACCTTCTTTTTATTGAATTTACTGGGATGATATTGTTTAATAAAAGTATAAAATGATATAAGGTTTCAGGTGTACAATTCTATAACACAGAAACATATCTTCTTATACAGCTAGATTCTAAGTTCTATATGGCCAATAACCTTGTCTTACCCAGTCTTTCATTATATTTTAATTTGACTATTATTTCTGCCTTCTCAGACACTAATGTAATATGTAGCCTATATAAAAATACTCAGTAATTCTTTGATGAGTGAATGAGTGAATGAATGAATGAATGAATTGCTTTTCACTTCTTACTGTGATAGAATGTCAAAATTAGGTAGCATTTTCTCTGAAGCCTGAGAGGCTTCAGAGTGACAGCATTCTTTCCATGGCCAGCTATGCTGATATTATTTTGAATTGCCTTTGTGGAAGGAGAAGACTAACTATGCAAGAGCATCAAAAGCAACTTCTCTTTACTCAGTCCCCTTGAATATTGTAACTCAAGTGCAGTACCTGATTCACCTCTGTGCAGGTAAGGTTTCTTAAACCAATGTACCCTTCAATTGAGAACCTAAGCAAGAATTAGTCATCCAGATTCTTTGAGAGCTATATTCTTAATCACCATTTTTATTTTGACAGGGAAAGTTCTGTTGATGAATAGTTCTTGGCATTTTTTTTTAACTTCTGATTGGAACAGGAAGTAATTTCTACTTGTCTCCAGAGAAATAAATAATGTAATAAGCTGATAGCTACATATCAACCCTACAAAAACCATTATTATCCATATTTTCTAAATGAGGGATCTAAGATACTCGAGAATATAATTGAGTCAACAATCTTCCATCTGTTAAAGTGCAGCCCAATTTTAGATTCCTGTTCCCTTCTGTGACACTGGTGGTGGGAAGTATGGTTACTGATGCAAATCTGATTTGTAGTTTTCTCAGTTAGATAATTACCATAGAATTGCATTCTAAAGTTCTTTAATGGGCTTGTTCTTCTGAGCAGAGTATTAAAAAAATCTAAAACTTGTTCTCACTTTACTCTAAAAACATTTTTAAAACATTATGCTCTCTATCGTTAATCTGCATTATCTTAAATGCATGTTTGTCAGGGTTTTTTTTAAGTTTTCCAGCTTGAAATTTGTGGGAAAATGAATCACAGCTTGTTTGATATTGCTATTGAAATAGTTTATTTCTTTAAATTTTTTATAAACAATTTTAATAATATAATTAGGCCTCACATGTTCAAGAATATACAAATACAAAGAATTTTTAATTTTTAAAAAGCTTGTTTAAGAATTAATAAGATTTTGATTCACATTGAAATAAGCATATTGCTATTGTTTCAGTAATTATTGCTTACAATTCTTACTGAGTATCTAATAAATAATATGAGATCTGTCAAGATTTGCTGAGTACTTTAATAAATGAATGAATGAATTATATACAGGGTCCTGCAGGTGCAACTCCTGCTTGAGAGTAGTTGGTAGGGTAATAATATGGGTGTAATAATTTATAGTTTTAATTTGAACATTTCACCTAAAATGTCATATGGTGTTCTTGAGTGTGATATTGTTATGTTACATAATTACTTGCTTATAACTTTGTAATAAAATATTTTGTAATAAAAAAGGGGAGTTATTTGTGCCAGATCCTGCATATACGTATGTGCTTAAAAAATCTTATTCAGAATATAATGGGAATTAGTCCTAAATTTTGTTTTATTAAGATTAGATATATCTTTACTATTTCCCCACACTTAAATATAATCTAGAGGATTCAGAATTCACCCCAGTTATTCCCCACCTCTACCACCTACACATAACTTCTTCCTTTCCTCACTCAGATTGTGGTGAGCTGTGGTAACCCAAAGGAAGTTCAGCAGGTAATAAGGAGAAGTGCCCAAGCACATTAAGACCTAAGGCACTTTTATCCTAGAAATAATTAGAAGAAACTGAAGTTACTGGTCTTACAACAGGGAAGAAAATGAGCAACTATTCAATGAATTTTGTATTCAGAATATAGTCTCTGATTGTTCAGTTGATGAATCGCAGGAATTTCTTCAACTTGGAGAAAATGGAAAGTGTATTATATTCAGAAATGAGTAAAAGTTATGTTCTATTGAAAATATATTTTGTACGTAGGCCAGATGATTCAGTTTTAGACACCTGTAGCGTACATGCTTGTAAGCATTAGCACCTGAGTTTGACACAAATGTGGAAGTGCTTCCTCTACTTTGCCTAAAAGCACCAAATCTCGAAATATCTGATCTAGAATTTTCTTCAAAAGAACTTTGAAATGACCCTTTTTCCTACTTTACAAGATGATATGAACTATACATTCATCATTGTCTTCAATTGGCTATTTGTTGTAAGATATACATTAAAACCTAATAATACTTGGCTATTTCACAGGTGATTTGAGTGATTGTCAGGTTAATATTTTGATTGGAAAACAATACCTTATATCAGCAATTTTCAACAGGTGTGCCACAAGAATTTTTAAAATGTGCAATACTTGACTATTTACTCAGGAACACAGACTTCTTTTCCCTTAGATTCTCAAATTAAATAAAAGAAAATAAAGAAATGACAACAGCCAACACAACAATAGCCATCCAGTGTGAATGAATGAATATTATATCTATTTTTGTCAGGTTGGCCAAAAATATATATATTTTTTGTTGTGCCACAGAATTGGGTAATTAGTTTATGTGTATCATGAGATGAAAAGGTTAAAAATTACTGTTATCTATTGATCTATACAGTGTGAAAGAATCAAGTAATTTCATCACTTGCATTTAGCTATTATCAGTGACTGGACTGGTGTTGACTGACTGACTTTCACTTTTTAATTCTTTCTCCCAAACCACCTTCTGTCTAGTTCACTATTCAACATTCATTAATAAATCGGAGTGAGACGAGGTATTTTCCTTGATTTTCCAGTTTGTTCTAGGCTCTTCATAGAAAAACACAAACTTCCCTGTCAAATATACAAATATTTTCCAGAAGGAGGGAATAGGCTCAAGTTGATAACAAGAATAGGCAGCAAATTCTAGTTCCAAAATTTTTCTAAAATTAGTGCCTTTGAAAGATTAAAAAAAAATGTTGGTTGAGATTTAGTGAAATATATCTAGCAATGAGTACAAACAACCCAATGAATAAAGACATGTAGCTACTGTCTTGTACCTGCTCTTCTGCTTCCCAAACACAATCCACATTTTCATGAAAGTCATTTGTGATTATGTAAATATGGCCATTCTTATATGTGCCGGAGATAGTAGACTCTAAAATAACAACAAAAACCGTAATAAAACAGTTTAGCAATGCAGATAAGGTGAACCTTCTGTCCTTATAATATGCTAATTAAGTGAATTTGTGTCTCCAGTAAAAGCTGTGGCTATGTAATGATGAATAAGAACTTTAAACACACATGACACCTCGTTAAAATGTAATTTTACATCATATATCTGAGCCCTTTCCTTTGACAGCTGAGTAATGTGAGTGCTAGGCAGAGAATCTTGAACATTCTGAAACTGTCACATGTTTAACAGGTAGCTGAATTTGCTTCTTGAACTGTTCAGTTAAATGCGGCGCACCCTAGACGCAAAATAGAACCAGGAAGTGGTGGGATTTTATATCAAACTTGTTCTCAGCCTACGGGTTATGATTGCTTCACAGTTCCACTTGAGATGCCACATTGTCTCTACAGTTTAATTTATATATGTCTTCGTAGCTGAGTGAACTTCATCAAAAAAAGAAAAAAATAGTTGGCTACTTGTTGCTAATTTTGTCCTGGTCTCTATATTCATGGCCTGTATTTTTATGCATCAGCTGTTTCCCTGGCTGCAGAGGAGTGCTCTCTCTTTCCCATTCTTACTTCTTCGTCACCTATAGTGACAGCTGCTGCCTGAAGGGCATTGTTTCCGTTGATTTTTCAGGGAGCACAGGCAAAACTTGCCACTTTTGCAATAACTATTCCATTGCCACATACCATCAGATAAATTCTGTTATGTTTGCTGTACCTTTCTTGTACTTTTCCTTCTTCATAATTGAAAGTTACACCTTCCCAGAATGGCACCTTTTACTTTTCAGGCTCTGAATATCAAAATCACAATCCTGTATGTATGAAGCAAAGCTGGACCTGGCTTTTACAGCTGAGCCCAGCATTAGCTATCAGTCCAACATCTAGGTAACTTTCCTAATAAATGAGACAAGATACAAGGGATTAAAGGTTTCACAAATGTTACTAACATTCATTGTTTCCTTACAGAGTGATGTCCCTGATAAATGTATGATTATTAGAAAAGTAATCAAAATCATATTTTACATGTATTGATTGGAACATTGTCCCATACATCAAAAAGGTCTCTGGGTTCAATTCCCGATCAGGGCATATGTCTAGATTGCCGGTTCGGCCCCTGTTCGAGGTGCATACAAGAGGCAACGGATTGATGTTTTTCCCT